AAAAAAAAATTATATTGATATGTTCATTTTTGAAAAAGTTACGGCAGTTTTTAGTAAAAAAAATTGAAAAAATTTCGAAAATTAGCGATTTTTAAATTTGTAATTTTTTTGGAGGTTTCCCCCATTTATAGGGAACGAGGGAAATTTTTTCAATTTTGAAGGGTAATGTCTTCGACTAGATACGATTTGTGATCTTTTGACGTATCGTTGAAAGAAAGCCGTTCGGTGAGAGCTGAGAAAAAGTGGTAACAGACACAAAAAAAAAAAAAACACATCTTAGTAAAACCAATACCTTCTCAGCTTCGCATCAAAGCTAAAAAAATTTTAATTAGATCTCATTCAGTAATTAATCAACGTTTTATTATGTCATAAGATTCAAAAATACTTTTTAAACATTACAGTTTATATATTATAATAATATTCTGGTAACGGTGCCACAATATCTTTGGAACCATTTAGATATATTATTGTTATAGATTTTAGTAACAACAAATTAGATTATTATGAATATTAACATTTTAAAATTATCTAATATTTATGTAAATTCATTGAAGGAATAAAGACTTTATATCTGATAATGATAAAATAGTTTAGTATTGTACTTAGGATTTTGTAAGTTTTATACTTTTTTAGCTTGTAAAAAAATGTCCTATAATTTATAATTTTTAAAAAAATTGATTCTTTTCTAATCTTACTCCTTTAAAATTTTATTTATATATATATATATATATAACAAGAAACATAATGATTAACTAGTTTTAAAATAAAAAAATTATTTTACTAAGAAATTTGTCGTTCTTTCACAACTTTTGAATTTGTATATTGGGAAGTGATTGGTACTTTATTATAATAATGGGAAATTAAGGAAGGGGTTTGTTAATTTTTATTTCAAGGCGTTTATAAACCATTTTACTCATACCGATTTGATATAAAAACACTGACATCTCTCAAAATACTAGTCCAATAGTTGTTATCGAACAGTCATTTTTTTTATTTATGAGACAGTTAAATATTGTGTTTTCATTTAAAAACTTTAAGTTGATAAATTATTTGAAAACCTGAAAAATATTAAGCTCAAATATAAGATTTTTCTATTTATTTATACATTTTTAAACACTAAATACTATCTTGAAAAATTAGCAATTGGTAAAAAATAAAGATTTGGCAATGAAGACATTTTTATGTGCGTTATTTGGTAAACAACTTTTAGTTACTAAACAATAAAATTATAATTATAATCCTCATTATTTTTGTTTTTAATTGTCAAACAAATTGTTTATTAATATAATAATTAATTTTCTACTAAAAAAAAAATTCAAAAATATATTAGACAACCAGTATAAGTATTATATGTGTTATGGTTGTAATGAGTTGTAATAAATTATTTTTATAGTCTGGATGTTTATTTTAAGTGCAATTGAATATATTGTAGCAATAAATTACAAAACTAATGAATCGGATTATGAACTATTTGATACTTCAAATAACAAATTTTCCTTTAGGCTAAATATGTTCAAATACATAGTTTCACCTCTAAGTAATAGGATATTTTCCACATTACCTAGAAATCCTGAATTGTTACGAAAAATGAATGTAAATATGATTCTAAATAATAATAATTATTTCTAATTTTTTTTATTTTAAATTTAATTTTAAATCCAGAAAATGCAACCAATTTTTCCAAAAGAAATGAAATTTCCATGTGATACGAATAATACTAGATCAATAGAAAGGCCTAATAGTGTACATCAGTTAAGACCGGGAGATATAGATGTTATTGGAGCAATAGGTGATTCACTAGCTGTTGGGATGGGAACATTTACAAACAGATTATTGGAAATATTTATTCCAGAGGAAGGAGTGTCTTGGATAGGAGGTATTTTTTTCTTTTTAAATTAGAAGGTAATTAAAACAACATCAGTGATAAAAATTTTAGATAATTTAATGTTAAAAATCTAATTAACATAAATAAGATCAAAACAATGTTTGTCTTAAAAAATACTGGAAGACTGACATTAAAATTATGTGTATATAATTTAATATTCAGTGTACTAAATCATATTTATTTTTATAGGAGGACATGAATCATGGAGACAATATTTAACAATACCAAATATAATAAAAGAATTCAATCCTAATTTGTTCGGCTATGCTTTTGGTACATCAATGTCAAAATCCATTCAAAAACAATTTAATGTCGCTCAAGGTGCTTCTGAAATTGATGATCTACTACCTATGACGGAAAATCTTATAAATCGAATGAAAATGAGTAATAAGGTTAATTTTAACCAAGACTGGAAGGTGCGAATGATAATGATCAAATAATTATAATAAAACATAAATGAATATCTTTAATAAAATTACTGTTTTTAGCTTATTATTATCCACATTGGTTCAAACACTATTTGTCGCGGGGTTTGTATCAGTTCTAATATATCAACATTCATAAGAAATTTTAGAAATCAATATATGAAATCACTTCAATTTATAAAAAATAATTTACCGAGGACTATGGTTCATCTCCTATCAACTATTAGTAAGTGTATTTTAGAATATATTATTTAATATGTCATTTTGAAATAAAAATCTGAACTTTTATACTTTTATTTTCAATTTTGTATTTTAAAATGTACATAGTATATTTAAGAACTTTTCATATAATTGAATCATTGGTTTTGAAAATAAATAATTATTATTTTAATTGTAATAAGACAAGCATAAAATATTTCTATGGATATTTTCTAAAAGCTGATTTAATCAATTTGCCATCAACAATTATAGAATATACAGAGTGATTTTTTTATTATAACTCACTCAATTACTTATAGAGTAATAATAATTTAAACATTTTTTTTTTTTTTGGTTTTTTTTAGTTACACATTATTCTTGAACTATTAACTATTTAAAACTTTTTAAGATTATCCCTTAAGGTAAGGGTGTCAACTTTGTTTTTTTTAAATTGGAACACATATTTTGAATTTAATAAAATGTTTGAGTTTTTAATTTAATAGTAAATGGCATTTACATTTTTAGTATAACTTTATTTGTTTATTAAATATTAACATTTGAAGTTTCAAATTTTTGAGTTAATATACATGTATAATACACATGGGTTTGCAATTACAGGTAGCTAAATGGTTGTTTATGACATCGATATTAGCAGGTAGCATTGTTATTATCAATGGTAGTATGGCACATTGTTGTAAGTTTATAGGTACACTAATTGACAATATAAAAAGTATTGATAGTCATAATTGATAATAAACAATCTGTGACTGTGACAGCAATGTCATAAAAAACCAATTCGCTACCTGTATTTATAATCCCTTGTGTTATATACATGTATATTAACTCAAAAATTTGAAACTTTAAATGTTTATCTTATTATATAAAAAACAAGGAAAAATTACTAAACGTGCTCGGATTTTCAAATTTTTTAGCTTCGATGCGAAGCTGAGAAGGTATTGATTTTACTATGTGTTTTTTTTTTTTGTGTGTCTGTTACCACATTTTCTCAGCTCTCACCGAACGGATTTCTTTAAACGATACGTCAAAAGATCACAAATCGTATCTAGTTGAAGACATTACCCTTAAAAATTGAAAAAAATTCCCTCGTTCCCCGCAAATGGGGGAAATATCCAAAAAAATTACAAATTTAAAAATCGCTAATTTTCGAAATTTTTTCACTTTTTTTTCTTAAAACTTCCATAACTTTTTTAAAAATCAACAAATCAACATGATTTTTTTTATACAAAAACCTTAGATATTTACCTTTCATTTNATTTTTTTTTATACTAAAACCTTAGATATTTACCTTTCATTTGATATCATTTTTTTGAAAATCTATCACTTAACCTGCTCATTGGGGGGGATTTAAAATGGCAACTTTTTTACAAAAATTAATTTTTTCAACTTAATTTTTGAAAATGTTCCGGAAAGACTGCGTCCTTTAAACATATATCAAATTAAAGCTTATTTTATGTACTACAAAATGAAAAAAAAAAATTTGTCCCGACACTTTTTTTTCTACATTTAAACGGCTGCCGTAGTTAAAAAAACACTATTTTTGTGTTAAAATTTTCGATTTTCGATTTTAAATTTTCAACTTAAAAATGCTATAACTTTTTGAAAAATGTATATATCAGCACAAATTTTTTTTTTCTAAATACATTATAAGTACATCTTTCATTTGACATACTTTTTATTAAAATTGGACAATTTCCCCTTATATAGGGGGCGTTCAAAACTTAAAATATTGTAAAAAACATAGATCTTTTTCAACTGAACTTTTGAAAATGTTCCGGAAATACTGCGTCCTTTAAACATATATCAAATCAAAGGTTATGTTATATACTATCAAATGAAAAAAAAAAATTTGTCCCGACATCTTATCTTCTATGTGCAAATGGCTGTCGAAAATTTAAAAAAAAATGTAATGTTTGCGATAAAAATTACATTTTATCGGGATGTTTTTTGTACTTAAAACTGCCATAACTTTTTCAAAAATGAACAAATAAAAATAATATTTTTTTGTATTGAAACCTTAGATATTTCCCTTTCATTTGATATAATTTTTTTTGAAAATCTAACACTTATTCTGCTCACTGGGAGGATTTAAAATAGTAACTTTTTTACAAAAAATAACTTTTTCAACTTAATTTTTGAAAATGTTCCGGAAATACTGCGTCCTTTAAACATATATCAAATTAAAGCTTATTTTATGTACTACAAAATGAAAAAAAAAAAATTTGTCCCGACACTTTTTTTTCTACATTTAAACGGCTGCCGTAGTTAAAAAAACACTATTTTTGTGTTAAAATTTTCGATTTTCGATTTTAAATTTTCAACTAATGTATATATCAGCACAAATTTTTTTTTTCTAAATACATTATAAGTACATATTTCATTTGACATACTTTTTATTAAAATTGGACAATTTCCCCTTATATAAATCCACTACTTTATTGTATTAATAATATTATTATTCGGGGTATGAGTACGAGGGTTTGTAAGAAAGATAGAAGATGATAGAAAATAAAGTGATCTTTATTTTATTAATATGAGATTCATTATAATTATTTATCAATTTTTAAATATCAATAATGCCACGAGTTTTGACGGTTATCGATGATAGGTGGGATTGAGTCACCTCGTGTGTCTACCCAGAGTGGTATGGTGGCTATACATATGAACCTCCAACCTAACTCCTGAAATAGACACGTATCAACGATATAACTCTGCCAAGTAACTCTGTACAAACATTATCGATTTATTAAATTTACTTGGTATATTTATTATTATTGATAATCACTTGATTTTCCTGTATGCCTACTTAATCTATGTACTCATAAAATTTAATTCTAAACCTTATTTATTTTTGGTTAATTTAATAGATTCCTACCTCGATATTTTCTGCTATACTCTTAAATAAATAGATTTTGTATTTTGTGAACAAATATAATTGTGTTGACGGCGGATCACTTCTTGCATATACTTTGTTGTGTGGAATGATCGAGCGTAGTGAGTGCCTCTGTGAATATCTGACTGCATCTGTCTCAGAATGCTCTTTATTTTTAGCTTTTTATATTAAATTTGATCGTAGTTCAAAGGCAAGAAGTGATCCCCGACGCCACTATTATTTCTTTATTAATCGTAATTTATTACATTTTCATCAATAATGATCTACATATAATAAAATACTATTATATCTTATATAATAAATTAGACATAGTTTATTACCCTTCATCTTATGAGCTACCATTACATATTGTTTATTATTTCCTATTTGTTTTATATAATTAATATATGCTTTTTTTTTACGAAATTTCATTAGCATGTTTAAACATTTAAAAGGTACATACATATATATATATATATATATATATATATATTTATATATATATATATTATTTTTATTGGTATACATTTCATTTTGTGTGATTGATTGATTGAAGCCTTAAATACTACATTATAACATTAATGATCTAATGTGTATACAAATAATTTATTATGATATAAATGATGTACTATGTATATCATTACAATATTCTGTAAGTAATTGAGTGGGTTATAATAAAAAAATCACTCTCTATATATATTTTTTTATTGATTTATCAGTCCATTAATGGCCATAGCGACCTCCCCCAAAGGAGGAGGTTTCTTAACCATTTATACTCCGGAACGGGTAGTTAGTCCGTCGCCGGAGAGAGATATGGCGACTCCAATTACCGAAGTGATCTCTCGTTCAGAAAATAAAGCTGTCTATGACCGAGTGTCAAATCCTAGGCAGTGCGCATCAAGCACTGCCACGTTACAGACTCGACCACACCGTCCCCAAATATTGTTCTATAAAAACCATTTTAAAGTGTAAAAGACAACTACTACTATCTATGAAATTGAATTGTAATTATTTAGCACACAATATAAAATATTCTTTTCTGTAGAATTTATAAAAACTCTCAAAAACATTTTTTGTGGCTTATCAGCTTTTGCATATAAGTAGAGAGTATTTATATCAGGGTTTTAAAAGAAACCTTTAAGAAACGATTCAAAACTAATTGTGATAAAAAAAAATAAAGAAATGAGAGTCTAACCGGAACCTTAAATTATTTGTCTTAAAGAATCCGTTACTACTAAAACCAATTCTTTTAAAGGTTCTTCAATTAGTTATATATATGTCACCATTAAATTCTATACGGCACACAAGTTATCATTTTAAAATATTAATTATGTTATTATCAAAGATTATATGAAAAAATAATATGTAAAAATATTATTTATAGAAACATTGCTATTGAACAAAAACTACTAAGTTTTTAACTTAAAAATTGTCTTATCTGATTGTAATAATTTATTGCTAACAATTTTTATAAAAAGAAAATATCTAAATCTAAATTTCACTGCAATATCACATAAAATTTACTTTTATATTGTTTTTAGATTTGGATACAATATTTCATAACATGAAAAGGCCTCAAGAATGTCACTTCTTTAATAATATTTTGGAATGTCCATGTTATTTGAATAAGTTTTATAAATCAAAGCAAACCCTTTATTCGCAAGTAATTGAAAAAATCAAAGAAGTTGAAAAAGAAATTGTAAGTAAACTTTTAAAGTACACTACACATTAAAAAAAATTTTTTTTTTTAGTTAAAATTGTAGAACATATTCTAACGCAAGGAGTCAAAAATTTATTGTTGTCTTATAATTTAATATCTGCCGAATTATCGCGATTTAATAATTAATTTATCATTTTTTAATATTAAAACTCTACCTTAATGTTTATATGTTTATTATAAGATTTATTGCACATTAAATTTGTATTATAATTATTACTCACGTGTAAATGTTATATTACAGCATTGTTATGTTCATGTATATACATTTTAAATTACTTTTTATAGTGAATTGTTGCAACATTTGTTAGTGGGCAATATTTTTGATGAAACTCTTATTGGTGGATTGCAAATTGTTTACACGTTATAATTTCATTGGTATTTATTCAATAAGGATAAGCACCATGACCACCGTAAACCACGTTACACAAAATTTACATGATCATTTTAGTTTTTTCAGCTTCACAAATCATATGAATTTTAAGATTTTTTATTATTGAATTTACGTTTCGTGATCAGAATTCACTTTAATAGACTTAATAATTCAAATTTTTGTTTATTATGTATAACCGATAAAAAATATCACGGATTTTAAATTTTCATTCGCTTTTATTTTATTGAGTGACTTCACTACACTATATTTTACACTCAAGTATCCTTAAAAAAATCAACTCTCCGGTTTGCGATAAGCGACTGCAATTTATTAGTTATTAAATGTTTTATTGGTTACAAAATATTTTTTCAATTCATCACTAATACGTTATAAAGACGTCGCCTTCATTTGTTAACTGGTTTATTGTTTAAATAGGTTGGAAATCAATAAATTCCGCTAGATGTCTGTTGGTTTTGTGATGTAACGGAGTGGGTAGAGCAATGGTTAATGGTGGTAGTCGAAATGTTTTGGCTGGGCTAGCGTATATCCTATTATAATTGAAGATAATGTTTTATTTGTCTTAATTTGTTTTTTGTTTAATACATTTTAGAAGTTTCAATTTTTTTTTGTATTTATTGAAATTTACTTTTGTTAAATGAAATGGTTAGATTTAATTTTGTTAAGGTAGAGGTGTTTAATTATTTGAGAGGTACAATCGGATGTCAAACGATGTCTATCAGGTATGATGTGTTAGTTTTGTGTCTGTATACACTTTTTCTAAGCTCTCACTGGAACGATTCCTTACAACGATATGTCAATAGATTACAATTCGTATCTAATTGAAAACACTGTCCTTTAAAATTAAAAAATTTCCCGCGTTCCCTGAAAATGGGGGAAATCCCCCAAAAATTATCATTTTTAAAATCTGTAAATTTCCACATTACATAAATTTTTTTCTTAAAATTGCAATAACTTTTTTAAAAATGAATAAAGCAAAATCATTGGTTTTATATAATTACCTTAGGTATTGCCATTTAATTTGCTATAAATGTTTTCAAAACCTGACCATTTATTTACCCATACAGGGAAACTTCAAAATATCAAGAACGTAATTAAAAGTTTCTGAAAAGAAAAGAAAAATATTTTGACCTTAAAATTTTACAATTAAAATACTGCAAAATTTAAATAAAAATTTCAATGTTAAAAACAATTCAAAATTAATAAACTTAAGAATGAAATTGAATTACTATTTAATATGAGTAAAACGGTGCTAGTTCCACAGTAATAGCTTATTTGGATGTGAAGTTGTAGGCTCTAGAACATAAGATGTTTTTTTATGTTTAATAAAAAAATAATTATTTTTATTTTCAATGACCTTCGAGAAGTCTATGATAAAAATTTCATCATTTTCTGAACTATGGCTGCACACACATTAGGTGATTTCACATGGAATGACCCTAATAAGGAAAAAATATTTGTATAGAATTATTCATGATTCGCATAGCCATTTTTGAGCAAACTTGTACTTCATACGAGAATTTGAAGAAGATCTTGAATATCACAAATTTTGTAACTTATCAATACAATGGTTTTCACATATTACCTTTAAGTTAAATGAATAGGTTAATAACAAGCTTTTAATGAAAGATTAATGCTTAATTTTTTTAGAAGTTATAACCTTTAGAGTTGTTTATGTGATTAGATTTTATTATGACCATTAAAGTTGAATAATGACTATTGATATAGATTAATTATTTTGATAATATCAAAAGTTAATATAATCAACTTTCATAGTTATACATTTATCAACATAATAGCAACATTATTCATTATAAAAAATAAAACAAAGCTTCATAAACCAACTTAATTTTGTTGAAAATATGATAAGAAAATGATTCTAGATAAAAATCGAAAAAAAAAAATAAAAATTTAACCAACTTCAAAATGCTGTAAAAACTTAACTACAAAATTAAAATAAGAATTTTTAATATCAAAATTTTTCTTTTAAACTATCTATAAAGTGGTTATCTTCAAATCTTAAAATTAATTTAAAAAAAAAAAGTATAAAATTTTATGTAGATCATAAGTTATATGAGTTGTCAGTTAGACCTGTTCCACTCTGTATATCATTTACTTAGTAAAATAATGAGGTACTTAACAATTTATGTTTTAAAACCTAAATCCTTATAAAAAATTTTGTTTTTTATTTCAAGTCCTTCAAATATGTTTTCGGTAGCGTATGATCAATAACTATACAATTAATTACATAGTTCTAGTTAGTTCATAGTTACAAAAACGAATTCGTTCTTGTCAGATTAATTTGTACATAAGTGTTTTTGGCTGGTTGGTAAAATGTGAATGTTATTTATTCTAAGAAAGTTAATAAAGTACCTATATTTACTTGTACTTTTGCGTTCCAGGCTGAAAATCCCGAGTTCAAAAGAGATGACAATTTTACTGTAATACTTCAACCTATGTCTGGAAATTTTTCTATTCCTTTAAATAAAATGAAAACAAAAGATACAACTTACCTAGCATCCGATTGTTTTCATCTTAGTCAAAAAGGATATGCATTGGGTAATTTGTGTTCACAATATGTTATACTAAATTAATTTTTATTACTCAATAGCTTCGTAAAAGAAATATAAAGAAAACTCAAGTCTTCTTAACTTCATTACGTAGCTGAGAAGTCATTGATTTTACTATGAAATGTTTTTTTTCTGTTTTTGCCTAACACTTTTTTTTCAACTCTCACCGGAAAGATTTCTTTCAACAATACGCCCAAAGATCAAAAATTTTATATTGTTAAAGAAATAATCTTTAAAAACTTAAAAATTTACTCGTTTTTTGTAAATAGGAAAAATCCTCCAAAAATTAATATTTTAATATTTTTTTAACTTTTATTTTCTTAAAAAATAACAATTTAAAATATTAACGAATCAAAAAATGTTATTTTCTTAACACTTTAGGTATTTCGCTTTCTTAGGGTATATATTTTGTTTAACCAGACCATTAAACTGCTCACAAGGAGGGATTCAAAATAGCAACTTTTGCACAAAAGTTTAACTTTTTTAAGTTTAAGTTTTTAATACGCTTCAAACATTTGTTAAAATAAAAATTTGTTTTGACGACTTATCTTCTATGTACAAATAAACGTTTAGTCCCATCTATAGTTGACTGTTTTGAATAGAAAGAATAGGTTCACTTATATACAAATGCTTGTTTTCTGGGATTGCATAGTTTGTGCTCATAATATGCTTGTAAAATATTCATGTACGTACTATGTAACTACAAAGGATTATACTTAAAAAATATTTAACCACTTTTAAATAAAAAACCCAGCACAGGGGGGTCGCGGCACAGTTGTGACGTGGTATAGTTGGATCAAGTATAATGATATCTGACAGTGATTAAAATCACTATCAAAAATAAACGCTTCGATGCAAATCTTTAGATAGTGTTTAATTTTAAAAAAATTGGTGTTTTATTCCAAAAGCTACTTGATCTGCTGGTTCCTTATTAATATCTCGATTAAGATAAAGTATGTGGAATGAAAAAGGGTTTATTAAAAAATATTATTTCTCATAAAAATATTGTGTGGATCCATAAACTTTTCAATAAGTTATAGCATTATAAAGTTAAATATAATATAAATAATAAAATCGAGAATTTTCACACGAAAANGTGATTAAAATCACTATCATAAGAAACGCTTCGATGCAAATCTACCATTTTCGCCGTGAAGACAAGTCCAGATGGATGATTGCAAAAGCAACATCAACTTCTATTAAAATAAAATACAAAACCCATAATTATCATACAAAAATAGTATATTTTTCAATATGGTAGCCATTTGCGTATAGAAGATAGATCGTCGGGACAAATTTTTTTTTTTCATTTTGTAGTACATAAAATAAGCTTTAATTTTATATATGTTTAAAGGACGCAGTATTTCCGGAACATTTTCAAAAATTAAGTTGAAAAAGTTATTTTTTGTAAAAAAGTTACTATTTTAAATCCTCCCAGTGAGCAGAATAAGTGTTAGATTTTCAAAAAAAATTATATCAAATGAAAGGGAAATATCTAAGGTTTCAATACAAAAAAATATTATTTTTATTTGTTCATTTTTGAAAAAGTTATGGCAGTTTTAAGTACAAAAAACATCCCGATAAAATGTAATTTTTATCGCAAACATTACATTTTTTTTAGAATTTTCGACAGCCATTTGCACATAGAAGATAAGATGTCGGGACAAATTTTTTTTTTTCATTTGATAGTATATAACATAACCTTTGATTTGATATATGTTTAAAGGACGCAGTATTTCCGGAACATTTTCAAAAGTTCAGTTGAAAAAGATCTATGTTTTTTACAATATTTTAAGTTTTGAACGCCCCCTATATAAGGGGAAATTGTCCAATTTTAATAAAAAGTATGTCAAATGAAAGATGTACTTATAATGTATTTAGAAAAAAAAAATTTGTGCTGATATATACATTTTTCAAAAAGTTATAGCATTTTTAAGTTGAAAATTTAAAATCGAAAATCGAAAATTTTAACACAAAAATAGTGTTTTTTTAACTACGGCAGCCGTTTAAATGTAGAAAAAAAAGTGTCGGGACAAATTTTTTTTTTTCATTTTGTAGTACATAAAATAAGCTTTAATTTGATATATGTTTAAAGGACGCAGTCTTTCCGGAACATTTTCAAAAATTAAGTTGAAAAAATTAATTTTTGTAAAAAAGTTGCCATTTTAAATCCCCCCCAATGAGCAGGTTAAGTGATAGATTTTCAAAAAAATGATATCAATGAAAGGTAAATATCTAAGGTTTTAGTATAAAAAAAATTATGTTGAATTGTCGATTTTTCAAAAAGTTATGGAAGTTTTAAGAAAAAAAAGTGAAAGAATTTCGAAAATTAGCGATTTTTAAATTTGTAATTTTGTTGGATATTTCCCCCATTTGCGGGGAACGAGGGAATTTTTTTCAATTTTGAAGGGTAATGTCTTCGACTAGATACGATTTGTGATCTTTTGACGTATCGTTGAAAGAAAGCCGTTCGGTGAGAGCTGAGAAAAAGTGGTAACAGACACAAAAAAAAAAAATAAAAAATAAAAAAAAAAACACATCTTAGTAAAACCAATACCTTCTCAGCTTCGCATCGAAGCTAAAAATAAATAATACTAAACAAAATTAAAAAAACATTATTATTATATTAAGAGAAATTTAATTACTAACAATAAATGAATAAATTAGTAAATTGAAATTTTAATGATTTTTAAATATTTGTCTATATATTTTCAATGATATATGCATTGTGGGTAAATAAAATTATATTCAAGTGAATACTAATCAATCATTTTTTTTTTTTGTTTTAGCTGCTACCTCATTATGGAATAATATGATGGAACCAATTGGAAAAAAAACGAAAACAAATGATAATATAAAAATTGGTCAATTGATTTGCCCAACAAATGAATTACCATTTATCGCTACTTGGAAAAATAGATTAAGAAATTAATTCCTTATTCTGTTTACAGAAGCATGAACATAATAATTGATTTTATTTTCAAAAATAATCCAACAAAAATTACTAAATAAATTATTTTACATCTTTAACTTTTTTGTTAAAATATTGAAATATTATCAAAGGAGAACACGAGGAGGTGAAATGAGAAGGTCAGTGACAATAGGCGAGGACATGATTGGTGAGGTGGAAAGTTTTAAGTATTTAGGGTCAGTTGTGCAAAAAAGTGGTGGTATTGACGAAGATATAAGACACAAAATTAAGTGTGGGTGGTTGAAGTGGAGAGACGCGTCTGGCGTCTAATGCAATAAAAGAATTCCAATGAGGCTGTAAGGTAAATTCTACAAGACTGTAATAAGGCCAGCTATGATGTAGGGTTCAGAGTGTTGGGCGGTTGATAAGAAAGTAGAGCAAAGAATGAGTGTAGCAGAGATGAGAATTCTTATATGGATGAGTGGAGTGACTAGAAAAGATAGAATAAGGAACGAGCATATAAGAGGAAGTATAGGTGTAGCGTCAATCGTGGATAAGATGAGAGAAAATAGACTTAAATGGTTTGGTTATGTTATGAGGAGAGAAGAATCGGAAGCTGTAAGAATAGTTATAGAAATTAGTGTTGAAGGAAGAAGAGGTAGAAGAAGACCAAAATAGAGATGGAGGGATGCTATTGAATGCGATTTGTGGGCAGCTGATGTGAGTGTAGATGATGTGAGAGATCGTGTCAAGTGGAAGTTTAGGATAAGGGTTGGGTATCATAAACAAAATGAATAAGGGAGGGGGATAGGAATGGTATAGAATGGATAGTAGCACACACAAATAGAGTTAAAAAATTAATAATACCAGTCTATAACATTCCAATTTTTTAGCTTCGATGCGAATTTTTTATATGTAAATACTAATTTTTAATAATATTAAAACTTAGAAGTGATAGAAAAAGTCTAATTGCAGATTTGAAAACATCACGAAAAATTAATTTAGAATAGCATATTTTTGTTACTGATGAAAGTTCTTTGTAGTTCAGTGCATTTATTTATAGTAACAAACAGTTTTTATTGAAATTTATTGTATCAAGCCCTTTAAATTTTTATACACGTAAAAATAAAGCAAAATACAACTTCTTTAATATTTTTATAATTTCTCCGTTTAAATTACAATATAAAATTATTGAATATCAATGTCATACTAAATTTAATAATTATAATTAGTATTTATTCATATATTATATTTTAAAATCAAAGAACTACTAATTAGAAATAATAAAAGAAATAAGAGTTGATGTTGCTTTTGGAATAATACACCAATTTCTCTAAATGAAACACTATCTACAGATTTGCATCGAAGCGTTTCTTATGATAGTGATTTTAATCACTGTCAAATATCATCTATACTTGTCCCATCTATGCCTTGTCTATACTGTGCCTCGACCCCACTGTGCTACCGTTTTTTGAAATATGTTTCTATATAAATATGATAAAGTATTACAAATTAAATTTTAACATTCATTATTCCATTTTCCAACCTTTATGTCATCATTTACCATTTACTATCTACCTTTTTTATGACATAATAATCAGATAATATGCTCCTTGTATTATTATTAATACAACAAAAAAACAGTATTGTAACTTATTAAAATATTAAATAACTAAATTTTCCTTAAACGGAGTTTTATTACAAATGATATGTCCCAAATTTTTCATTAAATATTTATTGAATTTTTCACAAAATGAATCTTTCATTTATAAGTGTCTTCTATATTTTGCTTCAATAAGAAGCTTTGAATGTATTTATTTTACCATGACATGTTTATTTATTTATTTTTTGTAACTTATTCTCAGCTCTCACTTGACTAAATTTTTTTAACGATATCAAATGATCACAACTAATATCTAGTATGCCATTATAACAATTTATTTGAATGAAATAAAAAATGTTTAGGATGTCAGAGAACACGTTAAAACATTTTTTTTCTACAAAACTTATAACAAATTAAATTTCAAACAACTTTTACATGAAAATTTTTTTTATAACTTGAATAGTTCATCGTATATATTTTTAAGTAAAAAATATACAGGGTGATTTTTTTATCATAACCCACTCAATTACTTGCAGAATAATAATAATTTAAACATTTTTTTTTTTTATTATCTTTAGTTACACATTATTCTTGAATTTTTAACTATGTAATACTTTTTAAGTTCATCCCTTATGTCTTGGAGGGGGGTAAACTTTGTTTTTTTAAATGGTAACACATATTTTTAATTTAATAAAATGTTTGAGTTTTTAATTTAATAGTAAATGGCATTTGAATTTTTAATATAACTTTATTATTTTATTAGATATAAACATTTAAAGTTTCAAAATTTTGAGTTAATATACATGTATAGTACACATGGGATTGTAAATACAGGTAGCTAATTGGATTTTTATGACATTGCTGTCTCAGTCACGGATTGTTTATTATCAATTATGATTATCAATAGATATACTTTCTGTATTGTCAGTTAGTGTATTTATAAACTCATAACAATGTGCCTTACTACAATTGATAATAACAATGCTGTGTACCTGCTAATATCGATGTTATAAAAAACCAATTAGCTACCTGTATTTGTAATCCCTTGTGTATTATACCTGTATATTAATTCAAAAATTTGAAACTTTATGTGATTATATCTAATAAACGAATTAAGTTATATTAAAAATTCAAATGCCAATTACTATTAAATTAAAAACTCAAACATTTTATTAAATTAAAAATATGTGTTACCATTTAAAAAAACAAAGTTTACCCCCCTCCAAGACATAAGGGATGAACTTAAAAAGTATTACATAGTTAAAAATTCAAGAATAATGTGTAACTAAAGATAATAATAAAAAAAAATGTTTAAATTATTATTATTCTGCAAGTAATTGAGTGGGTTATGATAAAAAAATCACCCTGTATACTGTAAAATTTTTAATTGATTCACCATTTCTTTTTTATTGCGAAATTTGTCTCATCATTTGGCGAAAATAACAAAAAAATACAAACAGAACTAACTTTTTTTTACACTTACATATTGCGAACTATCGATAAAGTAAATTAATCAGTTACTCAATTTTAAATATCGAAAATTTTTGCTTATAATATATTTCCTGTCATTTTTTGTCATTGTATTAAAAATACGAACGGCGTAATTTTCAAAAGTTAAATAAGTTAAGAAACGTTATCACTATTAACAAATCATAAACGTGATGATTTGATAACATTTTATTAAATTTCAGTGCAGTTGTACACTTTTATTATATATTTCGAATAGAGATTTTTTATGTAATTTTAATAGTATACATGAGATATATTTTTATTAAAAATGCCACGACAAAGAATTTATTTAGTCGGTTCGTTGAATAATCAAATATTAGGGAGTAAGTTACCTTCTTTAAAAGATTGTTTACAAGTCTTATTTTTTAATTTACGTGTTATAAATCTTAATTTATCGGAAAGCTCTAACTTGGTGATAGACGAATGTCTCATTTACTGGAGAAATGCCCGAATTCTAACAAAGCATAAAGCCGATTGTGTAAAAAAGCTGAAATAATATTATGAAGCTTGGCGAGATATAGAAAAATCAAAGGACAGAATTAATGAAAAACGCCTAAATAAGTTGAAATCATTTCAAGAAGACTTAGATAATCTTTTTGACATTACTCACATAAATGCTTTAGAAATTATAAAAGTTGAAGAAGACAAAAAGTTTTTAATTTTACAACGACAGCCAGGTCATCCTGGTTGTATGCTAGGAATTGATAAAAAATTATCAGATAAAAAAAAAAGAAGAGCCGACAGAATTGAATCGAAAGTAACAAAAAGACTTAAGTTTGATACTGCCTCTAAAGAAATAGATTCAGATAGACAAATAAATTTGTATAAATATTACGCGTATTTATATAATTACTTCAACATACCTCAATGTAAATGTTTTTCAGCTGCTAGTTTAGAATATTTAAGTTCAGAAGAATCAAAAATTTGGAACACTGATGTATATGAAAACTCTCAACCGGGCCCTTCAGATAAAAGGCTTAAAAAAAACATTAAAATCTGTTAAGTCTCCTCGACTTTGTGTTGCATTGGACAAGTGTAAAGTAAGCTTAAAATTATTTTATTAACTGTACAAAATAATCTAAAAATTTTTATGAGTACTGGAACAGGTGAAATAGTGTAACACACTAATACCTTAGCAGCTACATTTCAAATGTTAACCGCGATAAGTTACATTTATCTCAACAATAAACTTGTAAACCGGTTCATGATTATTGTTAAAAATACATATTTTGATGCTATGAATATTTGACAAATCATATAGAGAATTTTTTTAGATAGTATATTTTGTTTGTCATACATTTGTTTAAGGTCAGTGATCGGGACGCTGTGCACTTACTTATAGCATTTATTGAGAGTATTGATTTGGATCCATCTGATTATATTTTAAATAGAACGTCAATAAGACGAGCACGACAATGTTTTCACGAGAATTGTGCAAAAAATGTGTCAGACTTGAACGTAGACTTCGTTAATATGCATTGGGAAATTGCTTCCAGAACTGACTGGTGAAGAAAAAGTTGATCGCCTTCCTATTATTGTTTCAACTCCTAATGTTGAGCAACTTCTTGGTGTGCCACAAATCCCATCTGGTACAGGAGTAGAAATGTAATCAAGATTATTTGATACTCTAGAAAAGTAGGAGCTTACTAATAAAGATCAAGGCTTTGTATTTGATACGATAGCTTCCAATACAGGAAGACTTCATGGCGCTTGTACTTTATTGGAACAATGTTTAGGGAAAAAAATGCTGTATTTTGCATGTCACCATCATATTTTTGATTCAATACTTCAGTCTGCAATTAATGTAGCTAAATTACACGTGTCGTCTGGGTCAGACATTGCAATTTTTAAACGATTTAAAAATGCATGGGTGGGATTAAACAAAAACAATATAAGTTTGTGGAGTTCAAGTAATTATATGCAACGCATTTTATCTACTGTTCATGAAGAACTATTATTGTTTTGTTCAAAAACAGTTACAGTAAAACAATCACGAGATGACTACAAAGAATTCATTGAATTAGTGATTATTTTACTCGGCGGAACTCCACCTGGTAGGCTAAATATAAGATGACCAGATGCTTACCATCAGGCTAGGTGGATGGCGAAAGGAATATATTGTTTAAAAATATTTTTATTACGGCTAGAGTTCAAACTTACAAAAATAGAAGAGCATGCGCTAGAAATAATTTGTACATTCATTATAAAAGTATACATAAAATCTTGGGTTACATCTTTCACAACAAGCGAGGCTCCCATGAATGACGTTAACTTAATACGAACTTTATATGCCTACACAAATGACGACAAAGAGATTGCAAATGCATTACTCTCGAAATTTTTAAATCATTTGTGGTATTTAAATGACGAGTGTATTGCGTTTTCTATTTTCGATACAAGACTACCCACAGAAATAAAAAAAGATATTGTGGCCAAGATTAATGATTTGAGTTTGAAAAAAAAACTAGAAGAAGACGACGAATGAAATTCAAAGAAATTGTCACTTAAAATTGAAAAAGTATCCGAATTTTTAGCAACAAATTTGCCAACTTCATTATTCACTAAACAGTCCTTAAACATATTCAAAAGATATGGTATTAACAAAATTTTTTTAGATATAGACCCAGCTGACTGGGTAAAAGACTCCTTCTATATATTAGGAAAAAAACTTGTTGATGGACTAAAATCGTCAATGACAGTGCTGAGAGAGGTGTTAAACTCATGGTAGATTACAACAAAAAACACACCAAATATGAAAATCAAAAACAATTCTTATTACAAGTAATTTAAACAGCAATATATTTGTAATAAAAATGTTTAGCTTAACTTACTTTTCATTTTTATTTAAGGTAGTTCAAAAATACAGAAAAACGTATCCTGAGTATACAAAACAGGCTCTAGAAACTATGTTCAAAATATAATTAATTTGATACTTCATTTAAGTTTTTAATTGAAAATAAATTTATACTTAATTATTTTTTTTTAATCGATAGTTCGCAATATGTAAGTGTAAAAAACAGTTAGTTCTGTTTGTATTTTTTTGTTATTTTCGCCAAATGATGAGACAAATTTCGCAATAAAAAAGAAATGGTGAATCAATTAAAAATTTTACAGTATATATTTTTTACTTAAAAATTATTTTAAGTATATTTTATAAGAAACTTTTTGTTGTAAATTCGACAATACGTAAGATATGAACAAAATAATAGAAAAAAACCGATTTTGTAAAAACTAGATTTAAAACCAAATCATTCAAATCCAAAATGATCAGGTGATTTGGTTTTTCTTTTTCCAGCGCCTTCAGCCATTGATAAAAAAAAAAATGTAGAAAGACAGATAAGCGATTTTTAACGTTTATTATTATTGTAATAAAACTGAATTCATATAATATTTTATTTCTAGAGAAGGAGCGCGATTGAGAAATGAATAATGATAAATTGTTTGATTATGACGCACATTTTATTCCTAATCTATATTTAAATAAATAATCTCATCCAAACTACTGATTCAAAAGTTGTTATCAAATAGTCATTTTGTTAATTAGATAATTTTCTAATGGTTATTATAAATTGCCTTCAGAATAATTATACTAATAATGATGAAAATAAAAATAACTTAAAAATCGATAAATTAAAAAATATTGGTATTTTAAAAAATATATATTTTCTTAAATTATTTTTATGTTGTAAACAATTGATTAGATTATGACAAACGGAGAATGACCAAATATACTAAATATTTGAAAGATAAATAAATTGAAAAACTGAAAATATACCTATTCAGTCACATAAAAGATAAATATAATATATTAAAATATATTAAAATATATATGGGTATGGATTTTTGGTCATGTAAATATATAATAGTATTAATTCTATAATGTTAAAAAAATATAAAAATTTACACAAAATATGTTTAATAATAATATTCTCTACAGATTCAAAATCAATTTAAATACTATGTTGTTAATAAACAAATGTTCAATAAATAATATTTTACATTAAATAAATAAATATTTATGAAAATAAATTTTAAAAAAATATATTGGAAAATTACTATACTAATTATCAGCTTAAAACATATTAAAAAAATTATATTAAAAAATTCTAAAAAATGTATTCAAATACCAAATACTTTAATTTAACGAACGATAATTGGAAAATAACAATTGAAATTTACAAAATTTAAATTTTTATGCCATCAATATTTATTTTCTATATAAAAATTGATTTAAATATTTTCTATAACATTTACCATGAGCTATTCAATATAAATAATTTTCATAAATTTAATAGCAAATAAATTATACCAAGCGTGTGAAATTTTAAATTTAATTGTACTAATAATAGTGATATTTCACGGTCATTCTTTTATCTAAGTATAAAAATTTATCATATTTTAGATATTATATAAGTCACAAGACAGGTTTTTTATTGCATTTTAAAGAAACTAATTATATTTTACAATACATTTTATTTTAGATTTAAAATTAACACTCAATAATTCTTTTGCATTCTATTCATGAGTAGTCAATTGTATTTCTCATGAAAAATCACCTCTGTATTATAAATTTTTTTAAGCATTCAATTTCCAGTAATAATAGTTTCATCTTAAAATAAAAAAAATTAAAGTCAATTTATTCATTTTCATAATGTATAGCTTAACAACAACATTTGAAGAATATTTTGAAGGAGAGCAAAAAAAATATCCTCAACTCAAGCTAGAGGATATTTATAAACTAAAAGAAAGCATTGACAACGAAACACAATTGCCACCAATATCAGGTACTGTTTTCGTTATTTTAATTTTTTGGTAAATTTTTATGAGTAATTTACTAAATAAGAACAGTCTATATTGTATATAATTAAAATTGAAGTACTATTATTAGTACATTCTCTTAATGACAATATTATCTTCTTTTTCAGACAAAAAGCTTATTGCATTTCTCCAATGCACTAACTTTAACCTAGAAGAAGCAAAAATAACAATTATCAACTGTTACAAATGCTATTTGAAAATACCAGATGTATTTTGTAGCCTTGATCCGTTATCTCCTGAGATGAAGAAATTATATAAAAGCTCGTAATTACAAAATTGTATTTATAAGGGTCCCTTGTAATGTTTTTTCATATCTTTGGAGGAATATCTATTTATTATATTTTTAATATTAATCAATGTTTTTACAATACGTTATAAAATAAGTTACAATCCTAAAATATAAAATTTTAAAAATTTTAAAAATAGAAAAAATCTATTTTTCTATATTATGGGATTTTCCTTTTTTAAATCGCGATTTTAAAAACATCAAAAACAAAATCTAAAATATTCTTTTTCATATGAAGTGATTTTTTTTATTCTGAAATATACATAACAGACAGTCAAAATGGACTTTGTACTCATTGAAATATATAAAATTATTTATTATTAGCATAAACTCTTAAAATTTATCTTCGCCACAATATCTATCACAAACATAAACACGTTAATGTTAGTTATTATACAAATATTACAATTTTATAACATAAAATTACAAGTAAAAAAACTTAATTTAAAATTATTACACACATACAATTTTATGAGATACTTTTATCATCTAATGCAATAATAACATATACGTGATAAATAAGTTTTACAGCAATTACAATTAATTCTTATAATTATAATTATCAGGTAATTTATTAGTATATACACAGCATGTCTCAAATCCAATTATAATGTTTATTAACATTGATACATAATAAAAATTGATCACTTGTGGCTAGTTAATTAAGTAAAATTAAAACTATATTAAAAATATTATTAATTTAAAAAAACTAAAAAATATTAAAAATATTTTAAAGGCAGATAAGGGGAATTCTGTTGTAATATTAAAAAAAGAAGATTATTATGAAAGAGTATCAAGAATGATTCAAGAGGGTCCTTATAAAGAAATTAAAAAGAATCCATTAAGTAAAATGATAAGGGAGGCTACAAACGTCATAAATAGTTCAAAATTAATAATCGAAGAAAAGTTCAGGTTTTTCATTAAAATTTCAAACCCTCAAATACCTAAACTATATGCTTTGCCAAAAATACATAAGCCAGGAAGTACTATGAGACCTATTGTGTCGAATATTAATGCTCCGACTTACAATTTGGCTAAACACCTAGTAAGGGTATTTTCATCTTTCAAAAAATTCGATAGTTTTTCAGTTAAAAATAATATTGATTTAGTTAAACAATTATCTAGTTATACCATTCAAAATAATGACAGGTTAATTTCTTTTGACGTAGTTGCCTTATTTCCGAATATTCCAATAAATATAACAATTGATTTTCTTAAAGACTGGCTAAAGGACCAAAACATTGAACAGGATAAAATAAATGAGCTTATTAATTTAACAAAGTTATGTATGAGTCAAAATGTTTTTCAGTTTCAAAATAAATTTTATGAGCAAACTGAGGGCACAGCAATGGGAAATCCGCTATCACCATTTTTAGCAGAACTTTTCATGAGTAGGTTTGAAACAAATTTAAAATACACTTATGGTGATTTTCCAAAAATTTGGGTTAGGTATGTCGATGATATTTTTGCAGTTATAAATAAAGATTTTAATATGGGGGTTTTCATACAACATTTAAATTCTTTTTACCCATCGATTAAATTTACATATGAACAAGAAATAGAGGGAAAATTGCCTTTTTTGGATTTATTAGTTAAAAGAACAGAGGGGGAACTAAATTTTGAAATTTATCGGAAAAACACACACACGTTCAGATACATTCCGAACACATCGAACCACACCTGGCAACACAAATTGTCAGCTTTTAATAGTATGGTTTACAGATTAATTAATATTCCGATGAATAAAATAGATTATGATAAAGAATTGGTGGTTATAAAAGAAATAGCTAAATTTAATGGGTATAACGAAAACATAATTTTGAAATTAGTCCGAAAACAAAAGTGGAAAAAAGAAAGGAGGGCAGCTAGTACACTCTCCAGCGAGGGGGAACAAAAAGTAATTAGATCACCAATTTTATTTTATCCGGGCATCTCAAATGGATTAACTAAAATATTTAAGAATTTTGGTATTACTTTGGTAACATCTAAGAGTAATAATTTAAGAGATTTATTAGGTAACCCTAAAGATAAGGTAGATGAAGGGGGGAAATCAGGCATTTATAAAATACAATGTGAAAGTTGTAATAAATGTTACGTAGGACAAACAAAAAGAAATATAGGGGTCAGGTTTAAAGAGCACTTAAGAAATATTAAAAATCAAGAAATTGAGAAATCTCCAGTGGCCGAACATTTATTGACACATAATCACTCTATTAAAACCATAAAACTAATTAAAAACGTAAATAATTACAAAGAACTTAATATCAGAGAAGCAATAGAAATGTTTAAAAATAAAAACAATTTAATTAATTGGGATCTTGGCCCACTGAAAAATTCATTATTAAACTTGTGTAAACTGGCAAAATGTGATAATATTACTTAGTGATAACGTCACTAGGTGATAAGGTCACTAGGGGTATATAAGGGAGTTTTTTCTAGTCGGGGTGTCAGTATGTGTTTAGCGTTGATAATGGTAACATTGTTTCCGAAATACGTATCCGCGACTTTTCATTAATTTTTTTGTGGCTTTTGAGTTTAATATTTTTAATATTTTTTAGTTTTTTTAAATTAATAATATTTTTAATATAGTTTTAATTTTACTTAACATTGATACAATTATCGTTTTGTTGACTTTTTTAAAATAATTATTGCTATTTTTATTATTTAACACTAATAAGAAAAAAATTTAAATAAACAATTTTTATTCCTTTAAAAATTTTAAATGTTATTTTGTGGCTCTTTTTTTAACAAAAATGTTTATAGCCGATAACAAAATTAAAACAAATTCTTATTGAGTTACAAATATTTTAATATATACAGTAGATATAGAAAGCAAGATGAGTATACGTACACCACCAGAAACTGCACCCACCTGCGGGTACAGTTCACAAACAAAATATTTTGATTATTTACCTTATTAATCAATGTTTCAGTTGTTTAATAATTTTTAGGCCTACCTCTTATGCTTTGTAGGGTAACAACTTCAGTTTTTTAATCGCAACATATTTAGTTAACTATTTTATACAATAGAAAATGATCAAACTAAGGAAATAACTGGTCGATAACAACATTAAAGCCTTATTTTGGGGGTTTTTAATATTTTTAAATGTAAACTGGAGGTGAGGTGAAGGGTATGTTATTTTTATCATGACTCTTTACTCTATCACCTGTCTTTTTCTTGCGCCCAGGTATTCATAACTCCTGAACTACTGATTAAACAAATGTTATCGACCAGTTATTTCCTCAGTTGGATCATATTCTATTATATGAACTAGTTTATTAAATATGTTTGTTGTTATTTAAAAAAATTATTTGGGTATACAAAGTTATTATAGGTATCAAAATAAAGTAGTAATATATGTAGCCACTTAGTAATATAGAGTGTCCCACAATAACAAAATACAATGTCTTTATATGGATAGATAGTAACTATAATTCACTCTAAAATGTATACTTTATCAGCTTCGCTTTGAAGTTGAATAGAAGATCAGTGTACATCTACTTATAATAATAGTCCAAGAATTGTCTTAGATTCGTTAATTTTGAATTGCTAATAAGTTATATCATTGCTTTTATAATATTGCATTAACATTTACATTTCATACAAATATTTATGAAAATACAATTTTTTTAAACTAAAAAATGTTTTAATAATAACAATATAGTCTATACGCAATAAATATGCGTAACTTTTTAAGGACAACGTTAAAATTCGCTTGTATCGTCGTGAATCCATCTTTTTTTTTTGTTTCATTTGATATATTGATAATTATAGAAATTGTAATTGTTCTATTGGTTTTTTTTTTAATTAGAAGCTTTGGTGATTTGACTTTAAAGTATTCTGGAAAAGGTGAATGTATAGTATATTGGCAATTCAAAGATCCTGATATAAAATTGTACGATTGTTTATCTTCTATTAAATTGTTTCACATGTGGCTAGAATATAAATTATTGCATTGTGGTACTTTTGATGGATTAGTAATTGTTGTTAACACATCAGGTCTTTCATGGCGCCATGTTATAAAAATACCTATTACTATAATGGGAGAATTCTTTGTGTACATTCAAGTAAGTAAAAAATCATCCAAAAATATTGGCCTTTAATTTATTATTTAAATAAGTATATTAAAAAAATAAAGTACAATTAATAGTTCAACATTATAAACATATACACGTAATTACATAATTACTTCATAATACATAAATAGTTAATTATTAGTTAGTATAATTTATTGTGGACTTACATCATATAAAGTACATTTGAGCTTTTTAAATTTTAGAGAGGAATTCCGATTCAAATAAAGTCATTTCATTTTATTAACTCAGGAAATGCAATCAGCATGCTATTCAAAATGCTAACACCATTCATAGATAAGGAATTGATGGAAAAAGTAAGCAAAACAATATATTCTATAATCTGATTATGGATTCACAATTGTTATTTATAATGTTCATTAAACAGACTTAATTTTGTAAAGTAATACTAAATTGTGGCAAACAGTTGCATTTGCAACTAAAATTTTATTTAAATAGTATTTTATTTAGCAAATTTATTTATTTGTTTTATTACTTTCAGTTTGAATAAATAATAGATAATTCAACTAAATAAACCTATAGTAAAAGTTAATATTTCATTTTCATTTTCTTAATGTATAATTCAAATTGATACTAGATTAAATTTTATCCGGTTGATTCAGAAGAAATATTTAATTATATAGCAAAAAACATTTTACCGATAGAAGCTGGAGGATCAGGAAAAAGTCACACATTTTTTTGTGGTAAATAAATAAAGTATTATTTATGAATTTTATAATTATATACAAAATAATAATTCAGTAATCTATTATTTTGTATAGATGAGACGTATAAAAATATTGCTACCTGTACAGATATATTAAAAAAAGGAAACGAAGAACTTCAAAAACATCTATTTATAAACAACGAAGAATACATGGATTAATTAATTTAATATTTTAATCTTATATATTATATATGATTAATAAATTATCAAACCACTTTCTAAAGATTTTTAAATGTTTACTGTTAAGTAATGTTTCTTATTACAAACAATTATTATTAAAAAAAAAATAATCAATATATATATATAGATTTGTCAAAATATTTTAAGAATAAAAAAATAATATTTATGATTTATAATTAAAAATATAATATTTCTATGACTTTTTTCAAAAGCTAGTATGTCTACAACAGAACTTATAGATATATGTTATATGCAAAACAAATATAAATTATAATGTGAGAATTTTTATTAAGCTTTTATAACAGATTTTAAAAATTATTATATATTATTGAAATTAATTTTTTTTTTTTTTGCATTCTTATAAAAGGTTCTAAAACTACATTTTAATAGTCATAATAATAAGATATTTTTATACCTGAAAGGTTTTAAATATTAGATATCTTATTTTATTTGTTCAGACTTTTATATTGCCATTTTTCCTATTTTTTTTTTTTTTTTTTTTATACAGATTGTAATAGTCAGATTATTAGTAATTTAGTTTTGTTGCATTTAATATTATGTATAATATAATATATTCAGTGTCTTCAGTCAAAATCACTAAAATTGCTAATGATTGATTACAAAGAAAAATTATTCAAACTTAAATTCATTTTCCTGAAAAAACGTAAAAATTTGTGTTACAAACTTTACATTTCAAGGTGACATATATGTATTCTACTCTAAAAAATATGTTTTTCTCAGTTTTAAATAATACTAATTAAATATGTAATTAATATTAATTTAAAATTAGCATTGATTACATTAATCAACATTACATTAAATTTATGATTTATTTTAATAAAATTAATTATTAATAGAAACTATAATATTATTCAATAAAACTCTTGCAAAGTATTTTTATAATTTTTTGGGAAAAAGATTATTATTACTAACAGGAATAAGTATAATTTATAATAATAAAACCAGGGACGGGTAAGAAAGGTAATTGTTATTAACTATCATTATTTAATTATAATTTAATATTTAAATTAAGGATTTATAGCAATTAAATAAATAATAAATAAAAGGCTTATAATGATATGAAGGAGTAAAATCAGAAAAAGTATTTAATGATTAAAAGTAGAAAAAAACGCTTTTATTTTATCTTCCGCTCGGTTAAAAATATAATAACTATGCTGCATAGAATTTAGGCATACAATTAATTAAAATTACATTTAGAAGAAATTAACTTCCAAAAAATGAAAGATCGAGAGGTATTGAGAGATGATCAGAGTTCAAATAATTAAAATAATCAAGTTTAATTTGCCTTTTGCATTCAGCATGTAGAAAAAATATTGATATTTAAAGGATTATTTGTAGTACTGAATTTTTTATGAGAATTTTTTTTTGTTGATTATAATTTTAAGTTTGCTAATATTACATACAGGAAATTTTGAATTCAATCTTATAAATTTAGGAACATATAAATTAATTACCTTTCAAATTGATATCTAAATGATTTATACAGTAACGTGTTACCAGAATATTTGGAATATTATAGTACAGTACAAATAAAATTAATATATTAATAAATAACAAAGTAAGGTTATTCAACTTTATAGTTGAAACCTATTATCATATCAAAAACAAATCGACAATAAATACTTTTTAAAAACATTATAAAAGAATGGTTGTAATTGTCTATATGGAAAATGTGGACTAAGTAACTTTTTAATTGATAAACTAGACATTTTTTTCAATTTTTGAGAGCTATATTTTAAACTAATATGAATTGTAATAATTTCACGTATCGTGAAAAATATTGATCAATTGAAATCTGAGAAAAACAAATAAGACACAAAAAAATTTCTTTTTAAAAATATTTTTTAAAATTATATAAGTTTAAAGTCAAAATATATATTTCTGAATAATAAATTAAGGGTATTATTCCCCTTTTATCCCTTTATTTAATACGCCAATTTCGGGTAAATGAAGAAAATTTTGAAATTAAAAGATCAATAGAACGAGAATAAAAACCAAAAAAAGTCCTTAATTGTCTTAAACAGCATTACAAAAAAAAATTATTATTTTATGAAATATTTAGTAGTCAATGATAAATCAATCACTTTGTATTTCTATTAAAATTTGAAGATAGATAAATGTTTTTACAAGATGATAAAGAATTTAAACTAACATAACAAATAAAATATGAAATGTTGACTTTTATTATATCTACTAATGTGTTAAACATTTTATTTTAAGACTTTTTCCCATTATTTTAACATATACAATAAGAGTTTTCAGAATTTAAAAAATTATCGATTTTTTTTAACGAGAGTTTAGTAGTCAAATTTAGGCATAATAAATGATATGAAAATGTTTGAATGGAAAAGAAGACCTTGTTTATTATAAATGAAATTACCTGAATATAGAATATTAGAAAAGAAAACCATAAATTACTAACAAGCTTGATAACAGTAGTACTCATTAAAAATTGATGGATAAATTTATAATTAAATAATCTACAATTGAAGTATCTTATGATAAATTATTTTTCTAACAACTGATTATTAATTTACTTGTGCATTAGCTACAATAATCAATACGTAGATTACTGAAGGTAAGACCTTATCTCTTAGTCAATTACATTGAACTAATAATTAAAAATGTATACTCCTTCAACGTCGTTTGATGAATACTTTCAATATGAACAAAAAAAGTACCCGCAACTGAAAATTGAAGATATCCAGGAATTAAAAAAAAAATTAAAAGATGAAAAACAATTACCACCTATCTCAGGTAAATTCAAACTTGTTTTTTACTTATCGATTTGAAAGTCTTTGGCAAATGAGACAAATTTAAATATATGCATTCCATAAAAACAGTTCTTCATATTTTTTAATTTTTAAAAATAAAACATTTCAATTCTATTTTTTTTACCACATTACACATTCACAACCTTATAAAGCCTTAAGACCAATTATATATATATTTTTTTAATATTTGTTAAATAACTATATTATTAATTATATATCCTTGTGAAAATCTCACGTGTATAAAGAAATATAACATATAAATATATTATATAAGAATAATTATATTAAGTATAATATTATATTAATACAAAGTAATTTATTTAATAACTATGTTTAGGTATATGACTTTTAAAATGTTTGTAGTTTTCATATATTATTATACTATTTTTGCCATTTATTACACTTTAAAAAATTTAAAAAAAAAAAAAAAGAAAATATTTTTAATATACTTTACGTGATAATGTGAAAGGTATTAAAATGCAAGAAATACTAATTTTTTTGAATAGTAGAGTACCTCTACTACTTTTATCTCGAATCAAGCACTCATCAACCCATTAAGTAATTGCATATTTAAGTTAATTTAAATCTATGATGAACTCCATTTCTTTCAGATAAAATTCTTGTTGCATTTCTTCACAGTTGTTACTTTGATCTCGAATCAGCACACAATACCGTAATAAATTGTTATAAATCGTTTTTTGAAACACCAAATTTATTTTGCGATCTTGATCCAATAGATGAAAAAATAAAAAATCAATTTGAATGCACGTAAGTACAAATTATGAAATTAATAATGTAAATTGTTATAAAATGTGCAATTAACACTTATATGATGATGTGCTAAAATGTTATAAATTGAAATCACATAGTCTAATTCATAGACAGCGAACAACTGTAGTTGTTTAATACGATTTTCTTTGTATACATAAAAAGGAAATCTATAAGCTCTTGTAGTTTGAAGCATGGCAAATATTGAAAAATTCGCTTGAGATTCATTCAATGGTATTGAATTTATTTTGGGATACAATAAAAGCGAATATTATGTAGTCAATGTTAATTTTATCCTAAAACTTTTTTTTTTATATATATATATATATATATATATATTATTTCTAATATTCTATTGAATCGTTGTGAATTATTTAAATACTGATATTATTTTACGAAATTGTTAAATAACCTGATATTGTAAAAAGGGCTAAGTCCGTTAAATTTATAAATAAATAAATAAAATATCTATAGTACCTTGAGTTGTAATACGAGTGTATAATCAAATTTTCTGTACCTTCATTTGGAATAATTCCCAAATAATTTGAATGAAAATAGTGTAGAACAAAGGAATGATTTCATAAGGATATAAAACAGATGCAAGTACATTACTTTGGAATCTTGTAGACATTTTTCACAAGATCGTAATCATAAATACTATAATATTTATAATTAAGATAATTCTTATTGTATAACATTTTCTTTGTAGTTAAATAATTTAAAAATTAATGAAGATAAATAAAATATAATTAAACCACCATGATTACACTAAATATTTACGTAAAATCTTTAAACGTAATTATTTTTTAATTAAAATATAACTGTGATAAAAATGTATTTATAACAAAAAAAAATACAATTTTTACAACATTTTTTGATTACCGCATGTTTCTTTTATTAAAACAATTAAATTCGGTTTTTGATAAAGTATTAAGACACCAAAAATATCATTTTTTAATAAATTCATAAAAATTAATTTCGTAAATATAGAAAAAAAAATATTTTATACATTTTTAAATGTTTAATTATTACTTAATTACTAATTAGTAATTATCTCAGAAACTAGGCGTATGGAATAAATCTAAAACCAGATTTAGGATCAAGAGCAACATTTTTTTATAAGATTTAAATATTGTACACCTTAAATTTTTTTTTTTTTGGTTTTTTAAAATTGAACTTGTATTTTGAAATGCTATCTTTTTATTGCAGTTATTTAAAGAACCAATGAGAATTAACACTAATTTTTTTAAATATATGATTTTTTTAATCCTTTGTAATCTTTAATTCTCTCGAAAAATTAATAATTTTTTTTATATTGTAATGAAGGATTTAGATGACAAAAAATAGTTTAATTGATTTAAAATAATAAAATACACTTTTATTTATTTAACAAACACATGTTTTTATAATTTATTATAATACTAGTGATTAAAATAGCAACATTCACTCTTCACCTTCACTCATAACATTGGATTAGCTGTAACTTCTGAAATAGTGATCCAAAAGTTGTTATGGACCAAATATTTTCTTAACTTGATTGAAATAATCAAGTTAATTAAGTATTGTTGTCATTTGACAAAATAAAGTTAATAGTCTCATAAAGTGTAAGGGATGAAAATAAAAATACTTGATGATTGGCAAATTAAAAAAAACGTGTAACTAAATGAAACTAAAAATAATGTTTATTACTACTTTTATTTTTAAATTAATTAAGTGGGCTTATGTAAATTTTATCTTATTATTTTTCAAAGTGTCAGATACCGTTAGCTCTAAGTTAGTCGTTATTAAGTGAGTCCAAATATCGGACTGAGTACTCTATTGTAATAATTCAAAACATAACATACTAAAAACATTGAATGAATTTATCATACTCTGTTATTGATGAACAATATTATTTAGTATTACGTAATCAATTTTATAGATATCACATAATACGCTATTACAATGTAAAGAGCGTTGTTTTTATCATAAGAAAATATGTAAATACAATATATATAAACAAGTAACTGACAGTGCAATATATCAATACAATTTAACTTTAATATTAAATCAATTGAAAACAATGCTACATTTCTCTATAATATTGTATAATAATCTTATATTATATTCAAAATTGATATGTTTGTATTAAAGATAAATTTAAGTAATGTAAAGAATTTTGTAATTGAAATCAGTAATTAACAAATAATATTTTGAATACTGATTAAACGATAAAATGTATTTTATTTATTATTTTAGAACTTGGAATCATTTGACATACGACAATTATGACAAAAAAGAACATTATTTGTACATACAGTACGACAACATAACTAATTTTCAATTATTTGATCCACTTTCAGACTATAAAATTATGATTTTATGGATGGAATATCTTTTACTGTGTCACGGTACATGTGATGCAGTTAACGTAGTTATTAATTGTATTAATATTCAATGGCGTCACATATTCAAATCATGTTCACAAATTTCTATGATCCACAAGATGCTAAATTATGTACAAGTTTGTATTCCGCAACGCTAGCATTTACTCTTTAACAGTTAAAATATTAAGTTAATTTATTTGAGTTAGATGACTAGTTGAATACTTCTAGGGGGTTTTAGCTTCTGATATAACTAATTACTTTTTTAGCCTGAATAACGTGTATACTTCAAGTGCATTACACCAACTAAAAAATAAATATAATTTTTGTTTCTGATTTGGCCTAGCCAAAAACATCTTTAACACCTTAACATGTGAAAGAGAGTCGCCATTCTCTATAGCAATTTCGGAAAATAGAAGGATGTAAAATTGATCATTATTATTTTTATTTTTGCTTCGAAGCTATGTAGGTAATAATTTTACTAGTGTTTTTTTTAATTTTTTTTAATTTTTTGTTTCTTTCATCGGCGATTTTAATTAACAATACATCAAAAACCACAAATTGTATCTACTTAAAAACATTACCCTTAAAGTTTTAATAATACATTCCTCATTCTCTTTAAATGGGAGCGTGTGTAAATGACCCAAATAATTACGTATTTTTAAAATCTGCAAATTAGATATTTTTAAAACCTATTTTACCTAAACCTAATTTTTTTTTTAAATAATAAATTAAAATATTATTTTTTATAAATATCTTGGATATATTCTTTTTCTTGATACAGAGGGATTTAGGGAGAACAAAATATATTTTTAAAATATAAGTTCATACTGTATTTGGCATAATCCAAGAATCTCTGCTATAATTAAAATAAAATCTACAATTTTGCATCAAAGCGATTTTTTATGATGGCGCAAATGCCAAATACTATACTAGTGTTCACAATGCCCCGTGCCGACTATTCTGGATATTATTAGTTTTTTTTTAACTTAACCATGTAAAAAAACATGCATATATAAGCTTATAACTTAACATATAATTTCTAAAAAATAACGAGTTAAAATGCGTTTACTTACTCATTATGGATTTTTGCTTTTTATTGCATATTACTCTAGCATATAATTTTTTATATTTTATTGATACCGAACTTTTAATAATATACATAAATAATTGTGAAGAATAATTTGACTAAGCTAAAATTTTCTGATTTAAATAAATATTGATTTTGAAATATATTTCCTTACAGGAAGGACTTCCAGTCCGTTTGAACAAACTTCACATTATGAACTCAGGAAAATCTATGCAATATCTTTTTAAGATCGTGAAACCATTTATAAAAAGTCAATTGGTAAATAAGGTTTGTAGTTTAAATATTTAGTCAACTTTACATTAATATAATAATCATATTTTTCAATAAATTTTAATAAATCCAAAAGAAACTTTATTGTCTAGTATTGCTGATATAAATTTTCTTATAATCCGTGAATTTTAAAAAAGAAATGACAATTTTAAATTGAAAAAAATTTACCCTATTTAACTACTACCTAATTTCACGAAATATTTCTGAATTTCTAAAATCTAGAGGGATTTTTTCCATTTTTTATATATTAGTTTCATTTTAATCAAATTCCGATGTTTTTGATTTATAGATCAGCAGAATCGATCAAATGGTAGTCAAGTGTTTGTATTAACAGATACAAGAAAAACACATCATAATAAAATCATTACCTTCTCAGCTTCTAGTTGAAACTAAAACATTATAAACAAAATTGAACAATATTATTTTTATAATCGAAATAAAACGAAAAAAATAATTTAAGCTAGCAGCTATATCTAATATCAGCTTTACTATTTTTATTGATATGATTCGATCTAATAAAAATTTTGTTTTGACAATAAGTAAATAGATAGATAGACTCATACATATTTTTATTAACATATTACTTAAAATTAACCAAAAAGTTATAATGAATTCTTTAATCAATTAATATAGATCAAATTTTATTCAAATGACTCAGAAGATATTTATTCTCACGTACCTAAATCAATTTTCCCAGAAGATATTGGAGGGACATCTTTATCGTGTAAAGCCTTATTTGGTTCGTAAAAATATGTTTACGTTATTATTTGTTAAGAATATTACCCACTAATTTCTAGTAGACAATATTGTTGTCGTAGAAATTTAATGAATAATATTTAATTTATTTTTATAGAGCATAATAAACAAGTTTATAGCGAAAAAAATATATTTCACTGGGTAATATTTTAGAATATCTTGCAAATTAAAAGGGAACTCATTGATATTAATGTACAATTAATTAAAAAATAAACTCGATTGAAATTCCGAAAATTCGATAATCAATTTGTAGTTATAAGTTATTGTAATATTTACATTTATATAATTAGACATGATGAAAAGTGGCATACTGTTATCAACGCTGTAATTTTATCAAAATGCATAAAAAAAGTGATACCTGTATTGCGCTCTTCCAACTCCTATTTGACGTTTTAAAATCATTTTTATTCAAAATAATTAGACAAAAATTTATAAAATCTAATTTATTAATTAACTTATGATAAAATTAGAAAATTGTTCTATAAAATTTGTCATTGACTTAAAAATATGTATTTTATTCTATTCTTCATCTAATTGTAAAAATATAATATCAAATTATCATTTAACTTTCGAATTTCAACTCAAAGACTATCCCCAGAAATAATACATTTTTAAAATTACCGAAAAGTTGGTAGATATCACAGTTCTGTAGTAAATCAAAAATAAGAATAAGGGTGTTGAATCACTACAATGGAAAAATAAGTTAAATAATATACTACCTTTATCCTATTGTAGTTATAGTTCCTTTATAGTTTAAAGGTTCAAAGTAGTGAAATAGATTTTATATATGTATCTTTGTAATATTAAAAACAAACGTTGATGACAATTAAATTTTAATAACTCTTTTAAAAAAATACATTGTGAGTAGGATGTTAGTTAATGATAATTGAAAACAACATCATGGATTAAGACTACATCAAGAACTGAATAGTTCACTCACGTTTATTGGACAACACCTTAAAAAAAAAACATTATTTTTCTACTTTACATATTAATATGTGAAGTAAGATAGTGAAATTTTACTATATCAGTTTCTTAAATAACACATCTTTGATGCTGCTTGTATTTATTAATCAATATTATTAGTTAGTACATTGTATCATAGGTTAAAATAATATTTTTGTATATAATGTATTATTATATAGTTTTAAAACTATTCAAAAAAGAGTAGAGTAATACAATATAATATTATGATATTTAATATGGTACATCATTAACATGGTAATGAACATACTCAAACAGTTTATTAAAAATATATAAAATTTTTAATTAGATTATTTTGATGAAAAAAATTTTAATTAAAAAATTAGAGAAAGTATTTTTAATAAATCAAAATGCTTAGTCATTTTTTTTATATATTGAATTAATTTATATTAAATATTAATTTTTTCAGATAGTTTTCAGCAAAATTTGAATTCCTGCAGAGAATGGTATGTTGAACAAAATGAAATTATTAGAAGACAAATTAATACTAATAAAAATAATAAATAACCAATGAATTACTAATTATCTATATCGTAGATTAATTAACTTACGTAATCTGTGGCTCTCAACATTTTAGACGATAATTATCTGCTATTAATAAATAGCGTCCTCTGCGATGTTTATGATTACAATAAAAAAAAAAAAATTGAAACAAAGTCCTTGTATTTAACAGTTTTATAAATTAATTACTACTGTATAATACAAAATTAAAATAAATATATGACCTAAATTATACAATTTTATTTGAAGTTATATTTTTTCATACTTTGATGATAATCGACAATTATTTAATAAGTAATGGTAATATTGACTGAAGCATTGATATTCAATAATATCGAGATAAAAATATCGATACATATCGATATTACAAACAAAAACGCTTGCTAAGTCAGTTTCAGCGTATAATATTTCTTTATTTATGAAAAACATTTAATAGTTATAAGTTAAGTTTTTATTATTGATGTTATTTCGCAATGGAGACTCTCTTTAAATCAAAAACGATATCAAAAAAAGTCAAAGAAAAACTTTATATAAGCTACATAAGACAGTACTGGCTTCTGCATGTGCCACATGGTGTATAACTAAAAGTGACGAAGAGAAATTGAGAAGATTCGAAAGGAAAATCTTAAGAAGAATTCATGGTGCAATATATAATACCGAAATACAACAATGGGAACTGAGATCAAATGCCCAGCTTGAAAACTTTTACAAAAAGGAAAATATTGTGTAATATATTAAAAGTATAAGAATGTAATGATAAAATTCTTAGAAATTATAATGCCATAACGACAGACGTTGTCATTGTTCTCATAAAATGCTGACGCCTATGAGCGTTATAATATATTACTGATGTCGAAAATATGCTTACGTAAGCGTCTGGTAAGCAATGATAACATTCATAGAAAACATTGTTAGTTTAAGTTGGATTCATCCCCACCATAGGTTAATTTATGTTATGTTTCATTACCCCTTTCCTATATAGGAATTGTTGACGGAGACGTAGCGTTAATATTAAGTAAATATGTTAAAGTGGCAACGGCGACCACTATTTGATATACACTATTTCAATGTAATGTGTATGTTTACACGTACGTTTATCAGTTAACGTTATCAGTTCACATGAGGTTTATCTTACCCTCCAGTAGATAGCATCGTAGGAGGAGAACAACCATTTTCGAATGGCTACCTCCCCCTCCGCTGCCATGGAGTTTTAGTGCGCATGCACACTTTAAACCGCCATTTTGATTGATCTTAACATCCCTACCTAAGTCACCTTAGGCGGGGGCCTAGAATTCCCAATATTACCCTACTCATTAAGAAGCCTTAGAAATGCAAAAAATATTTGAGAAGTCATTGAAATACATAATAGTTAACAATATACCTGTTACCAAGGAAATTCTCTCAAAATTTTCTTATATTACATCACTATCTACGGGTAACTACGTTTATCAATGTCATATTTTTATAGTAAATATTGTCCAAATAATTGAAAATAATGATAATGACGTTGGGCTTAATAAGAGTCTTCTGTGTAATTTTTTAACATTACACCTAAAATTGTTAAAAGCTCTAATTTTTCATTATTTTATTTAATAGACAATTTTAATAAGTGTACTATAGGTGTTATTACAATTGGTATAATTTTAATTATTTTTAGCATTTTTCTATAAAAATAAATATTAACTCTTAGGTCTATAATTGTAATACAATAAAGTTATATATAAAATTAAGCATGAGAATCTAACATTAATTTCTGTGAAATAGAAGTTATTTGTATATATTTTTTTACTAAATGTGTTATTTTAAATAACACCGTTCAAAAAGGTGTTAGAGAATGTTTTGTCTTTTAAAAGTTTAAATGATTTTGTTTATTGAAAGATTTTGTGTATAACGTTCATTGCCTTTATGAATAAACAATAAACAATATTGTATAAACATAATGTATTCATTGAATTTTTTACCGTTCAGAGTTTTGAAGTTAGTACAGTTTTAGTATTGGTTATTAAAAGGGTATAGTCACTGCTCACGTACACTAACTTTATACAGTATGTGCGCATCCCATACTGAAATTTACGATTAAAATTGGTTTATGGCCAAAGTGTAATACGTTTAGTTTTATGGAAATTCGCTATTTTCACAGTTGTTATGACACCAAACTTTAATTATATCCCTGTTTTCACAATATTTCAGTTTTCTGAGTCTTTTCAGTTTAGTCAGTAATGATATTAATTGGTTTTAAATCTACTGATTCTTTATGTTAAATTCACTTAAATCTTTTTATTAGTGTATGATTCATCATTAAGCTATACGTTTTAAATTATTCAATGGTTGCCTCGTTATTTTGCCTTTGTTCTTATAAGTTTTCCTTAATTGGATCCTTGATTTTCACAAGATTAACCCTTCTTGTAGTATATTCATTCTGTGTTTACAAGAAACTGAGAAAGGTTCATCACAGGAGAGCTTAATTCTGTGGTATGACTATATATTTTATTGTGCAATGAGTGTTATTTGGGAGAACATTGCGCTGAAAATATTAATAATTATAATTATTAATAGAAACTTAACTTTTTTTTTTCCAACTTTACAATCCATTGAGAATTTTTACTGCCAGAATAGCTTCTCCCATTTTTCTCTATCATACGCTAGAACTTTCCAATCCACCCCATCTTCTAGGACCATCGCATTCCATATCTCATTTATGCTGTCTATCTATCTTTTTTGTGGACTGCCACTTGGTCTCCTCCCCGCTATCTTACAAGTCATTATTTCTTTTATTAGGCATTCGTCTGCTCGCCACGCATGTCTGGTCCATTACATTCTTATACTTTTAATATATTACACAATATTTTCCTTTTTGTAAAAGTTTTCAAGCTGGGCATTTGATCTCAGTTCCCATTGTTGTATTTCGGTATTATATATTGCACCATGAATTCTTCTTAAGATTTTCCTTTCGAATCTTCTCAATTTCTCTTCGTCACTTTTAGTTATACACCATGTGGCACATGCAGAAGCCAGTACTGTCTTATGTAGCTTATATAAAGTTTTTCTTTGACTTTTTTTGATATCGTTTTTGATTTAAAGAGAGTCTCCATTGCGAAATAACATCAATAATAAAAACTTATTTCGCTATTTTCACAGTTGTTATGACACCATACTTTAATTATATCCCTGTTTTCGTAATATTTCAGTTTTCTGAGTCTTTTTAGTTAGTCAGTAACGATATTAATTGGTTTTAAGACTAATTATATTTCGCGCGCAATCCAGTAAAAATTGTTTTCAAGTTTCAGCGGAGGTGGTAAATTTTCGAAAGAGTCGAAATACACCACGTCCTTGATTTTCTTTAAATACGCTACCCAATGCGTACCTTTTCCATGATCAATGTTCAAATTAAAACTGCACTCTCGTATAATTTCAGTTTGACAGGCAACTTATCTCTTGACAAAACACTGCAAAAATGATTGATTCCGATTGTCTCAACATATTTTATAATATCTCAATCGCTAAGTGCAAGTCGTTTGAGTATTGTCGATATTAATTTCTTTAGTGTTTCAAAAAAAACCTTCCACTCGATTTCATTGCTGATTTTCACTAGTTTATACGAATCGATGTTTTTTCAGACTTCGTGTGCAGCTCATACAATACTCGATACTCCACCAGCCAACAATCCTAAAGCTGAAATAAATAAAAAATAGGAATGAGTGATATCACACCACCAAATTTAGATACTCCGATAGCGCGAAGTGTTTTAAATAATTGTTTTTTTTATAGCAACAGGAACAGCCACTAATGCTAAGTTTGCCACACTGTTAATATCTTTTGAATTACGTATAGCTTTATGTCCAACTCGGAATACACCACTAAAGGTCATTCTAATTTTTCATTTAGCTTTCATAGTATTTGTTACAGTATAAGCAACAGTTTTTTCTCCAAATAAACTATCGTTCACTTTTACGTTGTCCCATGCGCGTTTTTCTACCTCGTAATCAGTCAAATGACGTTCTGATAAATTATTTATTCTTGCGTACGCAATAACATGTTCACGACTCGTTACATCGAGTTTATTTATTCTAGGGTCACCACGTGCTAGATTTTTATAAAGTTTTGTGCCTGGTCCGCAATACTAATAACTTGGAATATGTATTTCAATCAATAATCGATTAATTATTGAATTAACAGTATCACATCCTACACTTCGCTTCGCCGCACGTCTAGTTTGCACCATTTTCAATTTATAACTGATGAGTATTATGACTTTTTTAATCATTTATATTTATTCGCTTGACGAGTAATAAGGTGCGCTAATAATGTTTTTTAATGAAATATACACTACCAGTCGATAATGTCGCAGATATTATAGATCTTATCGATTTTAAACATGTGTCACGGTTACCCAATACAATAACATGCATTATATGTGGACTATCAAATTGTGGTAAAACAAGTATTGTGTTTAAATTATTAATGGAGGAAAATAGTCTGAGGTTTAAGACTTATATGTTTACACGAAAATTCCGGATCAACATAAATTATTAAGTGAAATTAAGGAGAATGTGGTAAAATTATCTTTGTTTACCTTTAGTGAAGGCATACCTCCATTCGAAAAATTAGAAGCAAATTTTATGTTTATTTTCAATGATGTAATTTGTGAAAAACAAATTCATATGACATCTTATTTTTTTTGAGGGTGACATAATAGTGCTGACATTTTTTACCTAAAATATACGTATTCTAGAATTTCTAAACAACTGATAAGAGATAACACTAATATGATTATACTATACAAACAAGATGAAACAATATTCAAATATGTTTATGAAGATCATTGTTCCAGTCATATGAGTTTTAGGAAAATTATAGCTATGTGTTGCAATATTAGACTGAAAGACGGTATAGTTTCATTTATATAATCAAAGATGATTACCTCAACAATAGTCGATATCGTTATGGGCTTTTTGCATTCATCAAAAAAGGCGAGTATAAAAAGATGAATCATACAGATATACTTTTAGTTAATATCAAGAAGTCAGATAATGCGTTGAATGAAATCATACGGTTTAAGCAAAACATGAAACATAAAATACAGTTAATAACAATTAAGTCAATACGAGTCAAAAAGCCGATTGGTCAATAATCCTCGTCTACAAATTATATGGGACAGAAAATAAAAAAAATAAGACAAAAAAAAATTTACATCAACAACTTCATATGAGGAAATGAGATGAACGCCTTCGTGCGATCAATT